GAATAATTGAAAGTTTTATAATTTAACTTTCACTAAATCAAATTTCCAAAATCAATAATTTTTAGTAATTAAATTATCAAAAGCACTAATTATTGCTAAAAAAGTTATAGTAAATGTCAAAATTACTTAAAATATAAAAAGTATATTATTGAAATTAATTTTCCACTACAAAATTACTGAAAATTTGTAATTATTATCTAATAATATCATTAAATATTAATAAATTTACCAAAATTACTGAAAATATCAATAACTACTTATTGCTAAAAAATTACTGATAATATCAAAATGATTGAAAATGAACAAAAAAAAATTTAATGAAAATTACCAATAATTTGTAGTTATTAGATTTTATTTATTAATATTTTAATTAATTATTAATTTTCAGCAATTATTGATTTCAATGTTTAAATCTCAACAAAAAAATTAAATTAAATTAATAAAATTAGTAATTTTTAGTAATTAAATTTTCTAATTTACCAAAATTACGAAAAATTATAGTTTAGGTGTCGATATTTACTAAATAATATCCAATAATATTCAAATTAATTTAGCTACCAAAATTAATTTAACCATATTTTTCTTTCTTAGATGGTTTATTGGGCATGTATTATAGATTAATATAGGTTTTATGAGGAATTCTAGGTGGGGAGATAGTTTAAAAGAAATTTTATGAGGGGCGTTGGCTAAGTGATTGGGAACATGAAAGATAGAAAGAGAGTTGGAGTGTGGACTCCTGTGAATAAGAGAGGGCTGTCACATGGCTACGTGGAAGGGTTGAAAAGGGGTAAGGAAGAAAGGAGAGAGTGTTAAGGAGAAACGAGAGAAGGGATAATGGGAAAAGGAGAGTGCTGCTGATGTGGCCTATGTTGCTATATAATATAGTATGGATAGATTGTTTCAGATGTATGGATGCCACTAAGAGTCATAGGACAAATGAAGTAGGGATGTACGATGGCCCTCTAAATTCAAGAAACGATCCTAACATTCCTTCCAAAGCTGACTAGGTTCTAAATATAATTTCATTTCCACTAGTTTACTCCATCTACATCACAATACAACAAAACAAATTTTATTCTACTTCAAGATAAATCAGATTTTGCATTGAATTTGTTTGCATTCTGATACTTTTGCACCAATATACAAATAAAATTGAATTGAAAAGAAAGTAGGCCATATGTGCAAATCCCGATGCAAAATATGGTATTACTTTTAAGTTGAATATGGTATACCAAAATGCATGTAAGCATGTTTTGAACACTGAACTTGTGGTCCATTTGGTTCACAACAGGGTTAGAATTGCCTATTCCCCCTAGAGGTATGGAATCATAATCAAAATATCCCCTTTTTATTCTAGTCATTTAGTTGGGTACAATGAGGTTCCAATTCTCATTATTGGTGGAATGACATTCTCCCATTTGAGTGAATGGCTAGTTCGGCTTCCCCCTTAAGAACTAGAATCTCATTCCAACCAATGAAGAAAAGGCAAGTGGCTTAAAACGCCCTCAAAACCTTAATGCTTTTTACTTGATGCTAACCCTCTTTGGGAATTGTACATATCATATGGAATCCAATCCATGTTCTCATATAAATCAAATTGGTAGGGGGAATAGGTGATTCCAATTACGAACCAAACAGACCCAAGAAATGCACAACTCCTAATGAGGGGTTGACATCATATAAAGAGAAATCAAGCCACTTTTTCTCTATCTCTTTAACCAACTAGAATTGAGATTCTTGTCCTCAAAAGGGGGGGGGGGGGAACGGTGTCAGAATGACCATTTCCTCAAATGGGAAAATGCCATTCCACCAATAATGAAAATGGAAACCCTCATTATGATTATAATTCCAAACCCATATTCCCGTAAACCAAATGTCCCTTCCGTTAAGTGTTTGGACCCACCAAAGGACCCTCTATTATTAACCAAATACGATCTTAGGAGGGGATGCTTGGCACTGAAGCATTTCACAAGTGTTCCGTTTCACCTGTTTTTCATAAAAAAATGAGATGTAGGTTGATAGGGCATTTAAAGTGATTTGACTTATTATTAAAATATGTTTATAATGACATGTGTGTAACATCTCAGAAAGAAGTCAGCTTTTTCAAATTTCAATGCACCACATCACCTTAGTAATTTAAGAAACTTCAATTTGAAGTTTTAAGAAACCCTTCATTTCCCGAATCCCTAAGTTAGTCATTGCAAAAACACTTTTTTAGAAACAGACTATCAAAATAGTGTTTTTTACTAGTTGTTTTTTGATGTGGCACTAAATCCATGTCAGCAAAATCATAACACTCATGAAACACATCGGTCCTAAACACCCTCATAATGTAACATTAGGTTCTTTGTCTATAACGAATCATTGAGCTAAAGTAATGGATCTAACAAGCCCATTTGATGGACTAGGCTATGGGTGGATTCGAGGCGAGTCGAGCCGAATATCTGCCTCTTCGAGCTCGGCTCGCTAACGGACTGTCAGGCTCAAGCTCGATTCGAGCTAGAGACTTGAGCTCGAATTCGGCTTGAGTCAAAAGCTCGAAAGTTCGAGCCCAACTTGACTGTGAATTAAATGTTTTATAAAAATAAAAAATACACATTTTTTTTGGCATATAAAAATTAAGAATTACAAAAAAAATTATTATTATTATATATAAAAATTAAACTTTTATGCATATAATGGTTTTATATGTATATATATATATATTAATAAAGGATTTAAATATCGGCATGATACGCTTCGTATACACCCGATATGGGGTGTATCATATCGGTATCAATTAACAACGGTACGAGATACGCAACGAATAGAAACGTATCCCATAAGGCATTCATATCACATTGATACAAATGCCTATTGGCATGTATCATACTGTATTGACCAATATGCACTAGTACGAGATGATACATGCAAAGTGTTGTGTCTCTTTCATAGAAAATGCAGCCATGTCGATTCGAAACAAGGTCATTTGGATGCACTATCTTTTGCCACACTCTGAACCATCAAGTCAGGCTTTATCTTGTGTTATTAAATAGAATAAAATAAATTTTATTACGCTTTTGTGTCGACATACAATTTAAACAAAAAAAGCATGTGTTTATATTTAACAATTCTAACTATTCCAAGCAATAATATTAAGAAAATAGTATTTTATAAATTAATAGAACAAATATTCTATTAAGTCCATGTTTATATAAAAAGATGACTTCTAATATCAATAAAATTATATAAATAAAATATTAATAATAAAATAATTATTTTAATATTTAAATAGCACATGATATGCATTTTTAATTTTTATATATTTTAAAAAATTATTAATTAATATTTCAAAACACATTAATAAGTAATAGCAACATATTTATTATTTATAAAAAATAAAAATATTGCTTACAAGATGATTTCTAATATCAATAAAATTATATAAATAAAATAATTATTTGAATATTTAAATAGCACATTCTATGCATTTTTAATTTTTATATATTTTTAAAAATTATTAATTAATATTTCAATTCACATTAATAAGTAATAACAACATATTTATTATTTATAAAGAATAAAAATATTGAAGAATATAATATTAAATTGAATATATCAAATTCACTAATCTACATTTATTTAAAAAAACGAATTTTTATTCTGAATTATTTATAGAAATAAAAATATTAACAATGGAATAACTATATTAGTAATTAAAAATTATGAATTTTTATAGGATATGTATCTTATAAAATGTAACAAATTTGATATACTTTAAGTTAATATTATATTTTTGTGAATTATTAATTTGTATTTTAATTTTCATTTGAGAATTTAATATTTAATTGATTTTTTGTTAATGTTAAAAAATTTAAATAGTAAAATAAAAACAAGTGATATAATAATTAAAATATAATATGCACATGTGTTTAGTGCCTTGGACTCTTAATTGATGCATTATAAATAAAATTATATGATATATAGGCATCCCGATATATTAATTGTAATATATTTTTTCATATTCACCATTAAAATATACATTTTTTATATATTTATATACTATTTGTGGAATTTGTATGTATTTTTCTAATATAATTTAATTAAATGCTCATTTAAATTACCTTTGATTATAATATTAAATATGTCATTAAATGTTATTTAAGTGAAATAACTTGTTAAAAAACATAAACCAAACATAACAAGTTTCGAACCCAAGCCATTTGCTTATAACAATAATTAATTAACCATTATGCCAACCTTAATTACTTATTAGAATGGCATGTTTTTTCGTCTTTCTTGCCTTGGTGGATGTTTCCCAACAAATGCTATAAATTTGATTATTAGTATTTATGTAATAATAAGATGAATACAAGTTATATTTATTTATTAAAAATTAAGGTATATATTAACTTGTATACATAATAAACATTATCTAAATGTATATATAATAAATATTAACTAATAAATATTAGTATATATACACACATTTCAGTTCTTCTATTATTTTTTAATGGTTACTAATTATATCCCGATACTTTATATAAATCATCAAAGAATGGTTTTCATATTTAAATAAATTAGTTATACTCACATAAAACTCATTTTTATTATTTTTCATATTTTTAAGGATTTTTTTTTAATTTTCTAGTGTATCCATGCCTATCTTGATTTTCCGTCCATATCTATACGTTTCTAAAGTGTATCTCGATATGTCTCTTAAAATTAACTTTCCGATACACCTTGAGTTTCAGATACTTTGAACCTTGTACGATACTTTAATCTTTGATATATATATATATATATATATATATAAGCTCGATTAGGCTCGTGAACCTTATGAACCGAGCTTTATTAGACTCGAACTCAGCTTGATTAATAAATCCATATAATAGATTTAAGTTTAACTCAAAATTCAATTTAAACCGAGCCTAACTAAATTCGAACAGTTAGTAAAAAGCTCGGCTCGTGGCTCGTGTATACCAGGCTCAGCTCAAACCCATGTTACCAAAAAATGCGGGATATGTGAGTCCAGGCCTAATTTTATCCTCTTTGGAATGAGAAATGGGCCGTAGGCCCTAGCCCGCGGCACGAAAAACAACCGTGCCCGGAGCTGCCGATTCTCATTCTTGATTCGACACTCTCGCGATCAACCAGCTTAGGGCTGTCTGCACCGGTCTCTGGTAAGCTCTCTCAGATCACCCAGTCCTTATTTTTCTGAGCATTGGATCTCATGATCTCTCTTTGTCCTGGTTCCCAGCTTCTCTTTATCTTAAAGTTTCATACGAGAAACAAAAACAACTAGAATATGAGCATATCATCTATTGAGTTTCATTTAAAATTCTGCAAATAGCACGAACAAATTACTCCATCTTGAACCGACAAATCAACAAATGGGGGACGGAAGGGTTAAGAATATTACTTTATCGTGATTTTCTGGATATTGTTTTACAATTGCTTTGATGGACATCATTGCTTGAGCCAAAACACCCACCTCTCTATCCAGCAAGGTTTGAACCATACATCAAAGGCCCTGGAGCCCCGGGTGTTAGATCATATGATAATCAATAGATATTAAATAAAAACCACTAAAATATACAAAAAATTTGTAGAGAAAGAGGAAGTCATTGCAAACCTTGTCTAGCCAAAGAGAGAAGTCTTTCCAAGCAGCTGTTTGCGACAGTTCACGGAGATGTCGATAGGATTGCCCAAAATGCAGACACATCCACCCAGAGAGTTTGAGTTATGTGATGGCAGGCGAGGCTATGATGCTTTTCCTCTAACTAAAATTTTTGAGTGAGAAAGAAAAAAAAAAGAAAAAATACAGTTTGAAGCCAAAATGTTTTAAATTTCATCCATAACTTAGACAAGAAAGAATTCTTCTTTTTTTGATAAGACGAATTAGACACAATATAAACATATTTGAACAAAACGGTATAAAGCATTCATTGGTGTCATGAATCTAAAATAAAACAACTTGTTGCCATGTTTCTCTTTAAATAAGTATATTTAACTGTATCCTTTTTGTTAACATGGTAATTCTACCTTCCCCTCACCATAGCCATTGTTTCTGTGTCACAGGGATAAGAATATTAACAAAGTTTTAGAATGTCTGAAAAAGTCTATTTTCAGCAGATACTTGTCGAATTTTAAGAATTGTTAAGATGTGTCAACAGATATGATTAGTTTTCTAGATGTTGATGGTATAAACATATATATGCATGTAAATGACTACTTTTTATTGATAATGCATTTTTTTGAGCCAGAATTGTACCAGAATCTTAAGTTGTATCATTTTTGAACCATTATTGTTTTGAACCTGGATTATTCCTGTATCCTTTATACATACTATGATTGGATAATAGTGTTCCCTCCCTCACTCCCTCTCCCTAGCTCCTTCAATGAATTGCTCTCTAGAAGAATTTTAAGGTTTTCCTAAGCATGTTAAAGTTAAATATTAGCTTTAATAAACTAATAATCAAGTGAACAATCTTTGTCATCTATCTGCTACAAAATCCTGCACAAACAGAGTTCTCAAGAGTGGGAAATGAAAGGTTGTTAGCATCCTGAAAAATAGGATGAATTAAGAGAAAGAATACTATGCTTTTGCCATTTGCCAATGCCCACCCAGTTAAGAGAAAGAATACTCTAATTTCTAACCTGTTAACCCAATGATTTTCGAAACTTGAAACAAACTGTAACAGTGCCATCGTTAACAACTTAAAATGATCAGGCCCCACATATAAAAATGTAAAATAAGGAAATTACCTCCATTGCTCAAATTTTAGAAAAGAATCAGACGGAAAAACAGAAAATTCCTATACTCAACTTTTGTGTGGGGGCTGGGGGTGAGCACGCTTTCACCACACTGGAATCCATGATATCAATAAAAATGTCTACTTTGCCCTTGCAACTACCAGTCACTCCTTATTCCTGGATTCCTAGTCAAACATCCATGAGATTCCAATATAAACTCATTATCCTTAGTATGATTCCATTTCCATACCACTTTTCTGCGTTTCAACTGCACACTGATGTGTCTTTTGTGCCCATGTAATAGACAACATACTCAAACATGAACTTATTAGTTCATCTATGTACTTGGAATGCTTAACATTGATAAGGTTTAATTGGCAGGTCTCGATATGGATTATGGAATGCCCTTTGTAACTTATCAGTCCGAGCTACCATGTCCTTAAAAAGATTGGTGCATCTCCAACCAAGTCATTGACATTCTTCTGAGAAGGTTTTATCCGAAGTACTGATCCTTGTACTGCAGTTTTCAACTCCTGCAATATTTCAAAACAAAGTACTATTCACTAGTTTTTTCTCTGACCAATACAACAGTGGTTGATGCCTCAATAGTCAGTGCAATTAGAAGATAGGGTAGCATACAAACACAAAGAGAAAGTTCATGAGTGAAATTCTGACCAGGAAAGGTATTGATATTGTTTATATTTGATGTTTCTAGCTTCTTCCTACATCTCCTTTCTTGGCAATGTTTTAAAAATTGGTTTTTCTAACCTATAGAGACATCTCATGCCACATGTACATTGAAATTTGGAGTTATAATGATGTGCTTTTGGTCCAGTCATTTTGTCAAAAAAAAAAATGACGTGCTTTTGGTCTGATATACTTCTTCAGTTGGGGGCCTGTGACTTTAATTTACTGGCTAGTGCAGCATATATCATTTCTTATGCTGAAATTTGGAATGGTAGTTGTTTCTTCATTTTATGTCTCGTGTTGTTTCTCCTATTTTCCCTTATGGTTGTAGAAACTAATTTAGTATTGCTTTGCAACCCAGATTGTTGCATCTCTAGTTATTCATCTATAAGCTTATTGTTATCTCCTTGAATGCTTGCTGTCAAGTGCTACTAACACCACTTGTTCTTTAGAAACTGGAAGTCTGGAAAAATTTTGAATGATGAATGACATCTCTTTGGTATCTATTGCTACTCTCTCTCTCTCTCACACACACACACACACATGCACCTGTGCGTACGTGCACACACATAAACACACTTGCAAACATATGGCGCTCTATGATGTCATATACAACTGTCAAATGCGGAAGCAAGGACTTCCTAGTATGACCAGAACATTCTCTTGATCTTTTGGTTGGTGGTTTAAACAGATGTTTTGTGGATTTTGATACTTAATGGGTGTTTTTTTGCATATTTTGGTCTTTTTATCTAGCCAAAAGGTTTTGCATCAGTTATGATTTGCTCCTTGTACATTCTGCTAATATCAATAAAAATTTACAGTTACTGATAAAAAAGGAATTTTGTAGAAGAAAATGTCCCATTAACAATTAAAAGAAATAATGTCCATATCATTACTCATGTGTTCAGAGTGCCATTAGAACCATTTTAATAATTCTCTTGGACAGCATCAACTTTAGACCATAAGACAATAATATATAATCATCTATTCAAGAGGAAACCGTTACATTTATGTAATATGCAGTATGCTTTACAATGCTATACTAAAAACACATTACCTAGGGAACATACACAGAAATGCAGACAATAATGTATCACCTCCTAATTAACACCCTTATTTTCAGTAAGGTGGAACCTAACCAAATGGCATAAATCAGCAACTTAGTCCTAGGACAGAGAACTGAGAAAAAAGAGACAAAAAAAAGGCCATGTGGGTCAACAGTGAATAATCTCTTATCTGGATTGGAGAAATACAGGTAAACTTCAAGGAATTACAGATTAGGTAAATCATCCGCAAGAAAAGAGGAAAATATCATGCTTGACTTCCAGAAAAGAAAGGGGAGTCATTTGGAGAAGTCTTTTTTTTTAATGCAGGGAATACCCCTAATCATTAATCAAAACCATATTGATTTTCATCATTAGAAATAGGGATTTTCTTTGTCTTTCCACTGAAGACCTTGATTTATCAAAAAAGGGGGAGGGGGGGGGGATATGCCCAGATCAGTAAAGCTCCAGAAATATTACACTGCATTCAGAGGGGTAAAACATCTGAAGGCAGTGAAGAAGAATAATAGGTAGAAGGCTAACAACGGATGGTAGAAACATGTTTGGACTACTTAATATCCATCAGCCTTATTTCTTTGGTTTTTGAGTTTTGTTTGTTTACCTCACCAATAAGGATGGCTTATAATTTTCATTTTACCAGCAATGAAAGAAAAAAAGGAAATTAAAAGATCACAGGGGTAAAAAACCGAAAACCCACCCATCCCACACATACAGGCGCTTGAAACCTCAACTGGCCCCAGGATTAGGAGCAAGGTTCAAAATTTATCACGTATCAGGGCGTATTGTATTGTATCAGTCACACCTCGATACACTAAATAATGAACATTTTGTATTTTTTGTTGTTTTCAGGGGGTAGGTCTTGCTAAGATCGAAAAAAAGGCTTTAAGAAGACGAGGAAGAGAAGGAACTGACAAAAGGCAGATGATTAGGTGGAAATTTTGGGGAAAAGGAAAGAGTGGAGAAGAAACATATTGTAGATTTGTAAGTAAACTATAGCATTATAATAGGTGATAAGGACAACCAATACAACGTGGCTGTACACATTTTGAACAGCCGTGTATTATCACAAAATTTAAAAATCAGAAAATTCAAAAAAGGAGAAAAGTAGAATGAGGATTTTGGAGCAAAAACAGGCCATGTGGTGTGGCTCAATTTTTTTAGTATATAGTATAGATACTATTAAATCATATGGGCCAGCCTTGGGGTTTGGCCTGCCTTGGCCTGGACAGACATCAAGGTTGTTAACACCATGTAAAAACCTGGCCCAATCCTACCCAGGATCATCCCTAGTACTAGAATTAGCTGCAAGATCATGATAATGACCCAGAAAAACTCAAGGTTTAAAGTATTGGTACACCTCGATATGGGGGAAGGGGTGTATCAGTACTTTGAACCACACTCATCCTTTTTATCTTCCCCCCCCCCTCAAAAATTGAGTAGAGGGGTAGGTCTTAGGCTTGCCTACCTCTGAAATAGGCCAAAATCTGAAAAGATTGATATTTGGTGCATCGGTGACCCACCGATACGGCCCGATACATGATAAAATTTTGAACCTTGGAAACACTTAATCAACCACAATAAAAGGAAAGCAATAGCATCCATTCACCATAAATGATGCCCACATATGAGGTGCATAAAAATAAAAACATGGTGAGGAGACTCAGAGATTTTGTGCTAGACATGCCATGGGTACTTCTGTAATTGTCATTTATACAAATCTTTAGTTGTCATACCTCTCTTTTTGAAACTAGTATGTGTAATATGCAGCATGCTTTATAATGCTACTAAAAACACATCACTTAGAAAACATACACAGAAATGCATACAAGCAACCTTACACATAAACACAGACTCGTAATAATGTTAAGAAAATTGTAATCATAACCAAATCCAAAGGGTGGGTTTAATCCATTCATGAATCTATCATAAAGCTTTAAGAATTAAGATCATATAATCAAGTCCAACTTCAAAAGTCAATTAACCCACATACATTGGTACTTCAACTTGTATATCAATGGAAATAAATTCAACAAAGGGTAGTGGTGATCATGAGCCGGGCTGGTCCTGACTTTGGGCCTATGAATTTTATGTATAAAATGTTAAATGTATAATATTTTATATGTCATAATATAAAATTTATAATTGGTTATGCAAGTTTTTTTTCCCTCTCTCTCTCTCTCTCTCTTGCATTGCTAGGTGCTGAGTCTTCCTCTCACACCTCTGCTTGTGAGTATTCCACTCACTATCGTGAGTTTTTTCTTTTCTCCTATTCCTATTAATAGGGTGTGTTACAGAAGGATTGGAAAGGTAGGGGGTGAGGATGGATGTGATTCTACAGTATGGGGACTTCATCTCAGTTTGGGCATCAATGGGATTGGCCTTCAAACCTCTCTCATCTGAAGGGAATTTCCGGCGGGCAGTATTGGCTTAGTGGGTGAGGTAGTAGAAATTTTTTCTTGGCATAACACCTGTAGAGAAAATGGTTGACCAGCTTGTGGTCCCATCTGCTCATATGTTCTTTCTTGTTTATGTTAGACCTTTTTTTCTATTGTTTCTAGTGACAGGGGTGTTCTTGTCATTGTACCACTTAATGTTGAAGACCTATTTTAAATATCATTTGGGGTGGTAGACTAAGCTAGCTGAACCCCTCATTCTCTTCTATTCTCTCTTCCTCTTCTCCTCTTCTCCTCTTCTCCTCTTCTCTTCTCTTCATTTTTGATTTGCTTTTCTTATTAAACAGGTCTGGACCTTCTTGGTTGCAGACAACTTGGTATCAGAGCAGGCCTAAACTTGGCTTGGGCTCTTGATGAGGGCAGATTTGGCCCTCCAGTGAAATTGCGACATGTGGCACCTTGTGACAACTAGGCAAGCACCCAGGCAACAACTTACCAAATTGGTGTCCCCCCCGGGCACCGGTCTGGCTGGCCTGGCGCAACCTGCACGAAGCCTGCACGCGGCCTGCGCGCGACTTGCGCGCGGCCTG